CCACACCTATGGTTCATCTTATAAGGGTACTTGTGACTCTACCCAGGGGGACAGCTTGAGGCTAAGTCTCAAAAAAAAAAAAAAAAAAAAATAGAAAAACTGAGGCAAGAGGATTGCTTGAGCCCAAGAGTTGTAGTTGTAGTTTCTAGTCACTAATGCAATCATAGCTTCTATGTGAGATATGATGCCACAGCACTCTACCCAGGGCAACAGCTTAAGACTCTGTCTCAAAAAATAAAAAATAAAAAAATAAACAGGTGAAGTCTATGAAATGAGTTATTTAAGGTCTTTGTTTTCTCTTCACTTCTATGTGCTCTCTCAATCCTACCTACCCCAAACTTTCCCCCGCTGTGCCTCTCACTCCTCTTGGCCATCTTTCCTCTTCTCATTCTCTCTTGCCCTAGTTTCTTGGACCCCCCTCTTCCTTGTCCCCTCTTCCTCTTTATCACCCAGAGCGCAGTGATCGTGATCTCAATGGCCTCCTCTCTTCACTCGTCCAGCTGCTTGCAGCTCCTGAAGCCCGAACACTGTTTGGCTTCCAATCACTAGTTCAGCGAGAGTGGGTGGCAGCTGGACACCCCTTCCTGACCCGACTGGGGGGAACTGGGGCCAGTGAAGAGGTGAGAACAATTTGTGAGGGTGTGGAGGGAATTATTACTAAAAAGTAAGGGAATGAGAAAATTATATAGTACAAGCCATTGAAGGTGAATCAGAAGTGTTCTGAGGTTAGGGTGAGCTTGAAGACCCAGGTGAGTGAGGCCCACAAACTCTGTACCGACTACTTTTGGTTCAGGTTTTCATTCCCTGACCTCGTTAGTGCCCCCTATTCTCTGTGACTGCCACCTCCATCATTTTGTCATCCTCTCTTTTTAGGTCCCCACAATCCTTTCTAACCTCTTAATTTCTCTCTTCTCAGGCCCCAGTGTTTCTCCTCTTCCTTGATTGTGTCTGGCAGCTCCTCCAGCAGTATCCAGCTGAGTTTGAATTCTCTGAGTTTTTCCTTCTTGCTCTTCATGACAGTGTCAGGGTTCCTGACACCCTCACTTTCCTGAGAAATACTCCCTGGGAGCGTGGAAAGCAGAGTGGACAGGTCAGTGCCTTGTATTTTTTTTTTTTTTTTTTTTAATTGAGACAGAGTCTCTGTTGCCCCAGGCTAGAGTACCACGGTATCAGCCTAGCTAGCTCACAGCATGCTCAAACTCATGGGTTAAGTGATCCTCCTGCCTCAGCCTCTTAAGTAGCTGGGAATACAGGTGTGTGTACCCCAATGATTTTTTCTAGTTTTGGAAGAGACAGGGTTTCACTCTTGCTCAGGCTTGACTCCTGGGATCAGGCTCAAGGGATCCTCCTGCCTTGGCCTCCTGGAGTGCTAGGTTTACAAGCCATGAGCTGTCAGACCTGGCCTGTGACTTTTATTTTTGACTTGTCTTTTTTTTTTTTGTCCCACTGATAAGTACTCTGTAAAGTTTAACTTGTTTTACTTTTTTATTATTTATTTATTTAGACAGAGTCTCACTTTATCACCCTTGGTAGAGTGCTGTAGAGTCACAGCTTACAGCAAACTCCAGTTCTTAGGCTTAGGTGATTCTCTTGCCTCAGCCTCCCAAGTAGCTGGGACTATAGATGCCCACCACAATGCCTGGCTATTTTTTTGTTGCAGTTTGGCCAGGGCCAGGTTTGAACCTGCCACCCTCGGTATATAGGGCTGGTGCCCTACTCACTGAGCCACAGGTGCCACCCTAACTTGTTTTATAAGGGAGGACTGTGGGTGGGAAGGAGGAATTGATGTTCACTCTCAGGACAAGACTTTTCCCCTATACCTGATTTCTAGAATAAGAAGTAACAGTTTCTTAATTTGTCTTTAGATTTGGGAGATTTTTTTTGTGTGTATGTGTATAATCCTCCTTTTTCTTGCTTCCTCTGTCCAGTGTAACTCCTATACAGAAGTCTATACACCTGGGTACTCCCAGCCTCCAGGAGGGAACTCTGTTAACCTACAGCTGTCTGTCTGGGACTGGGATTTACGCTATAGCAATGAACAGATACTACAGTTCCATAATCCTGGCTATGACCCGGAGCACTGCCCAGAATCCTGGCTCCCTAGACAACAGGTGACGTGCCTAAAAGTCATAAATCCCCTTTCTTTCTATGCTGTTAGATGAGGTGTAGAAAAACACCATGTCTGAGTACCTCAGGGGAGCTGCCCCTCTCCTACTCTGCATCTGTACTTAGAATCTGCATTGTCCCTAGGAAGACAGAAGTCCTACATTAGGATAGAGGGCATCCTTTGAATCATCCTTAAGTCTGTTTACTCACCTTCCCGCCTCATGCACACATTTTACATTGCCCTAAAATCAGCTTTAAACAGTCCTGAGGCCTACTCGAAGCCTAGTAAGGAGAGTTGATTTCTGAAGGGGAGGCCTGTAGTTTCTAGTCACTAATGGAATGAGTGGGTGGCAGATGGACATTCCTTCCTGACTCAGATTGGGGAAACTCGGGTTATCTGTTTTCCCAATTGCCGTTGATTTCCTCTCCCCTTTAGCCAAGCTTCATGACTCCTGGACCCCCCAGTTCTATGTGGCTCTTCTCTAGAGGGGCCCTGACCCCTCTAAATCAGCTCTGTCCTTGGCGGGACAGTTCTTCCCTGCTGGCGGTATCTTCTCGTTGGCTCCCTCGGCCTGCTATCTCTTCTGAAAGCCTGGCTGACCAGGAGTGGGGGCTCCCCTCACATTGGGGAGCTTGTCCTTTACCTCCGGGGCTGCTGCTGCCTGGATATCTGGGACCCCAGATCAAGCTCTGGAGACGCTGCTACCTGAGGGGAAAGCCTGAGGTCCAGGTAAGAAAAGAAAACAGGAGTTGGGAGTGGGACAAGGGGCTTGATCGTTCAACCAGATGAACAGGAGCTGGGAAGACAAGTGGTTGGGGATATTGAAAGTGAAGTACAATCAATCCTCTTGGTACCAAACTGGGTATGTTTGGGAATGTAGGAGGTGGGGGAACTGTTTGTGGCTTAGATTAAGTGGAATTTAGGGCCTGGTTAGAAAGTGAAAAGAAATAAAGATACCAGAAATAGTGGATGTCTTAGAAGCAGAGGGTTAGAGCTACAATAATATTCCTCTGTAATCCCTCTTTGGCTCTTCCCCAGATTGGCCTCTCAGCTCCCACAATCTCTGGCCTCCAGGATGAACTATTCCACCTTCAGGAACTATTAAGGAAATGGACACCAAGAGTATCTCCTGAGGATCACTCCAAGAAAAGAGATCCAAACACCATTTTCTCCTAATCCCACTGAAACTGCAGGCATTCTCAAAGGCAGGGCCAAGGGGGATGTGAGACAAGGGAGGGCTCTGCCTAATCCTTCAATTTTTCATATCTGGCCTTGCTGCCTCAGCTTTCACACTCCAGTCCACGAACAGACTCTACTAGTAGACTACAGTTTCCATTGCAGATGGTGGTGCTAATGTTCTCTAACTCTTGTACTGTCTTGTTGGTTCCTGAGATACTTTTATTCTCTGTGATTTGAAGAATTGAGAAAAATGATCCAGAGATGACTGCCTTTTTTATGGTCAATTCCATCTCTTATGGATAACCAGCTGTTTAAATTATGAGATCAGAGGTGCTGTTTATCAGTCCTAACAAGTTGACCTACTCATTCTCACCCCCTTATGCAGCTTTGCTAATTCCAGTTTCTATGGGAATGGAATGAATATGAGAGACACCCTATGTCTGTCAACTGTGTATTTTTGTAGTGGAATTGCTATTTAAGGAGTTCATTAAAGCACAGTATTTATACATACTGCTGGCGTTTTGAATAAAGGATCCTAGGTAGCAAAGAGTGGTGGGAAGTAGGTGAAGTCACCCACGAAATTATTGCTAAGGAAATAAGGGAACTGGGTCAGGTGAGGCTCTGCAGAAACCATGCAATTTGGGAAGAGGGTTCGCTTTATCTCCCATTTAGAGGCAGATAGGGCAAGAGCATATCATGATATGGTGGTGGGAGCCCGAGTGCCTTCTGAAGGTCTAGACTGAGGCCTTGGAACTTCAATCCCAGTCACCCCCATCTTGGAGCCTCAGATTCCCTGAAATCCCCTACCCCCTTCACCGCACCAGCACCCCCTACCATGCAATCGGGACCATGGGAGCTGAGACGTCACTCTAGCTCAGACATTCCGCAAACTGCTCTCCTGAGGGAAAACGAAATACCTCGAGCCCAAACAGGGCTGTGAGGCCAAATCTGCACCAAGATCGCAGGTGGCTTACAGGGCTGCCTCCGTATCCGAATCCAGGGGTTGGGGAATTCATCAGCGCATCCGTCCCTGGGTAAGAAAAGGATCATCTGGCCACAAAATAGTTTTCAAGTAAAACTTTATTCTTTTAACTTTCGAATTTACGTTTTTTGGAGCGTGTGATTCTTCCGCGTCTACTACTGCCTTAAGTGAGGCCGGGCGTTTCGGTTTCGCTCTCCTCAACTATGACCACTAGCAGCTACACCTCAATTCAGGACCAGCTCCGCCGCACCAAGCCTCACGGCCGCCTAAGATGGCCGCAGCCGCTTCCGGCGCCCCCCCCCCGCCCGCCCCGGCTCCGCCTGCTGCTCGCCGCTGCCTTCGCTCCGGAAGTGGAAGTGGTGACTGAGGTCAGAGGGCGGAGTCGCTGCTTGGAGACGGCGGGAGCTCTTTCGCCATGGCTGCCGGGCCCATCTCCGAGCGGAACCAGGGTAATTGAAAGGGACGAATCTGGAAAGGACCCAAGGGGGATAGGCTGCCCCGACTAGGGCCAGCAATGTCTTGTCAGGGTGGAGATTGGACCCATCTTCCCGAAGGCCTCACCGTGCCTGCTGGGGTCGGGGTGGGTGGCCTGGTGGAGGCTGGGGCCTGTGGGTGTGATGCTTAAGGTCCAATCCTCTGCTGCTTTTCTTTCTTTGTCTTTCTTTTGAGACAGAGTCTCACTTGTCGCCTTCGGTAGAGTGTCCTGGCGTCATAACTCACAGCAACCTCAAACTCTTGGGCTCAAACGATTCCTATTTTCCATTTTTGCTCCGATCCTCAACCCTAATTCTTCTTCCCGGATTCCATCTTCGTGTTTCCATCACCTCCTTTCCTGTCATACTTAATCTTTGCTTTCACCTCCTCCCAGATGCCACCGTGTACGTGGGGGGTCTGGATGAGAAGGTTAGTGAACCACTGCTGTGGGAACTGTTTCTCCAGGCAGGACCAGTAGTCAACACCCACATGCCAAAGGATAGAGTAACAGGCCAGCACCAAGGTGAGTACATAGCAAAAGGTGCATTTATATATTGAGGGGACAAACTACTCCTGCATGGTCTCGGTAGTATTTACAATTATTTTGGAATAAGCAACTTAAAGGTTTCTTTTACTTAAGCTTCGGTTCACAGTTTGTTTCTGGAACCATTCTCAGTTGAAGTGAGGTTATTTCTTTCTTGTTCTTTATGATTAGTGGGTGAGCTGAATCCTATTTTGAATCTCTTAACTTAAGTTGTTAATCTCCCTCCTGCACTTCCCCAGGATATGGTTTTGTGGAATTCTTGAGTGAGGAGGATGCTGACTATGCCATTAAGATCATGAACATGATCAAACTCTATGGGAAACCAATACGTGTGAACAAGGCATCCGCTCACAACAAAAACCTGGATGTAGGGGCCAACATTTTCATTGGGAACCTGGACCCAGAGATTGATGAGAAGCTGCTTTATGATACTTTCAGCGCCTTTGGAGTCATCTTACAAACCCCCAAGATTATGCGGGACCCTGACACAGGCAACTCCAAAGGTTATGCTTTTATTAATTTTGCTTCGTTTGATGCTTCGGATGCAGCAATTGAGGCTATGAATGGGCAGTACCTTTGTAACCGCCCTATCACTGTGTCTTATGCCTTCAAGAAGGACTCTAAGGGAGAGCGCCATGGCTCAGCAGCTGAACGGCTTCTGGCAGCTCAGAACCCACTCTCCCAGGCTGACCGCCCCCATCAGCTGTTTGCAGATGCACCTCCTCCACCTTCTGCTCCCAATCCTGTGGTATCATCACTGGGATCCGGGCTTCCACCACCAGGTAAAGCTTTTGGTTCAAAATCTGTTTGTATTGAGGTGAGAGCAGGAGGAGGAAGAAAAAAGCATCTGAAAGAGGAGGGCATTGAGTTAGAGGGTAATTGGAAAGGGATTGAGGAAGAATAGAGAAGGATAGAGAAGAAATTGTTGGGTTTTTTCAAGAGGTTGATTATCTAACATTGTTTTGATTTTGGAGTGCTGAGAGGAGGGAAAAAGAGCTCTTATTTTCACTACCATCAACTACTCTTCCTTCCATTTTCTGCATAGGCATGCCTCCTCCTGGCTCCTTCCCACCCCCAGTGCCACCTCCTGGAGCCCTCCCACCTGGGATACCCCCAGCCATGCCTCCGCCACCTATGCCTCCTGGGGCTGGAGGACATGGCCCCCCATCAGCAGGAACTCCAGGAGCAGGACATCCTGGTCATGGACACTCACATCCTCACCCATTTCCTCCAGGTGGGATGCCCCATCCAGGTAGGTTTTCTTTGTTGAGAAAGGGAGGGATGAGCTTGGTAGAGAGTCTCCATCACCATTCATTCTGCTTCCCTTTGTTCCTCAATAATAACAGTCTCACAGTTCTCCTTTCCTTCTTTTTTTTTTTTTTTAAGAGTCAGTCTTACTTTGTTACCCTCAGTAGAGTGCCTTGGCGTGACAGCTCACAACAAACTCCAGCTCTTAGACTAGGCGATTCTCTTGCCTCAGTCTCCGGAGTAGTTGAGTTTATAGGTGCCTGCCACCCTCAGTATATGGGGCTGGCGCCCTACTCACTGAGACATAGCACTGCCTCTTTCCTTCATTCTTTCATGAAAACAAACAGAAAAGGCTGGGTGTGGTGGCTCATGCCTATGATCCTAGCACTCTGGGAGGCTGAAGTGGGTGGATTGCTTGAGCTCATGAATTCGACACCAGCCTGAGCACAAAAGTGAGACCCCAACTCTACTAAAAATAGAAAAACTGAGGCAAGAGTATCACTTGCGCCCAAGTTGGAGGTTGCTGTGAGCTGTGACACCACGGGCACTCTACCCAGCTTGAGACCCTGTCTCAGAAAAAAAAAGAAAGAAAGAAAATACTTTATTCTGTTTATATTAACAACTATCACTCTTTCTCCATTTCTTACTTTTTCTAAAGAGTAGACTATACTTGCTATTTTTTGTTTCCTTTACTTTGATTCTCTCTTCTAACTCAGTCTCAAAGCAGTGACCTAATTGCTAAATCTTGGAGACACTTAGCAAAGCTTGTTTGAAATTCTAGTCTCAGGGCTGGGTGCAGTGGCTCACACCTGTAATCCTAGCACTCTGGGAGGCCGAAGTGGGTGGATTGCTTGATTTCACAAGTTGGGAGGCAGATGTGAGTGGATTGCTTGATCTCACCAGTTCAAAACCTGAGTAAGAGCAAGACCCCATCTCTAAAAAAATAACCAGGTGGTATGATGGGTGCCTGTAGTCCCAGCTACTTGGGAAGCTGAGGCAAGAGGATTGCTTGAGCCCAAGAGTTTTAGGTTGCTGTGAGCTGTGACACCAGGGCACTCTTATCCAGGGTGACAGAATGAGACAATGTCTCAAAAAAAAAAAAAAAGAAAAGAAAAGAAATTCTAGTCTCCTTTTGCTTTTGTTTTTCTGGATTCTCCACCGATCTCTCTGACTTCTTAATCTCAGCTACCAATTGGATTTTCTCTGCTGGTGCCCAGATTTTCTGCACATGTCTATAATTTTAGTTACATATACACTGATGTCTACTCCTTGATTAGTATCTCTAGTCTGTGGTTGTTAACATTCTAGATCCTTAATCTGGCTGCTTAATAGACAACTCAGTTTTTCTACTCTCCTTCAAATCTATTGTTCCTCTAATATTCTTTGTTTTCAGGTGCTTAATTCATGTATCTGAGAGCTATGTTTGACTATTCCCTGTCACCTTATTGTAAATACCAAATCTCATTTATTTGTTTATTTTAGAGAGAAGGTCTCATTCTGTCACCTAGGCTGGACTGCAGTGGCATTATCATAGCTCATAGCTCATTACAACCTCAAACTCCTCAGCTTTAGTGATCCTGCTGCCTCAGCCTTACAAATTATTGGAATTATAGGCATGAGCCACAGTGTTCAGCCCAAGTCTTAAATAGACTGGCATCTGCTCCCATCGCCGTGCCCAAGTTCAGGTTCTCATTCCCTTATTATTTCACATTTAATTTATTGTAGTCATCTCTTGTCACTTTTACTCTCGTTTTCTCTATCTTTGATCTACTTTCACACAGTAATTTTTGAGAAATACAGATGTTTTTACAGTTGTTCAGAATTCTTCTGTTGCTTCCTTCTATCTACATATTAAAACCCAAACTCATTACCATAACATTCAAAAGTTTTTAGGATTTTGCCCCTGCCCATCACTCCAAAAACTGCATGTTGCTCCTGGTTACTGGTATTTCTGGAACATACTGTGCTATTGGACAACACCTGTGGTTTGCTCATGCTAATCTTTTTGCCTGGGATGGTCTGTTCCCACTCTCTTGTTCTCCCAAAATATTCTTATTTATCCTTTAGAACAGTGGTTCTCAACCTTCCTAATGCCATGACCCTTTAATATAGTTCCTTATGTTGTGGTGACCCCCAACCATAAAATTATTTTTGTTGCTACTTCATAACTGTAATTTTGCTACTGTTATGAATCATAATGTAAATATCTGATACGCAGGATGTATTTAGGCAACCGCTGTGAAAGGTTCGTTCCATCCCCAAAGGGGTCTTGACCTAAGGTTAAGAACTGCTGCTTTAGAATTAGATCCTTGCTCAGACACTGTGTCTGCTGCCTTCTCAAATCCTATCAACAGAGTAATGATTCCACTTGTTATATACTTTGGCATTATTACAATGCCTAAATTATGGAAGGAGCAAGTGATGAGAATGAGGAGTTGATCGCGTAGTTCATTGGTTTGTACTATTGAAATGGAGTCAAAGATGGGGCACATTTAAGTCAATTTTATTTTCTTTACCTTTCTCTTCCTGATGTTACTTCCTTGCTCATTTTGTTCTTCCTTTCTTCATATTCTTTACTGTCTGTTCTCTTATTTCCTTTCTCCTTGTGTCTGTTTTTACAATTTTCATAGGGATGTCTCAGATGCAACTGGCACACCATGGCCCTCATGGCTTAGGACACCCCCATGCGGGACCCCCAGGCTCTGGGGGACAGCCACCACCTCGACCACCACCTGGAATGCCTCATCCTGGACCTCCTCCAATGGGCATGCCCCCCCGAGGGCCTCCATTTGGGTCTCCCATGGGTGAGTAGGCTCTAGCCATCTCCCTCAGCCACATGTTGTATTTTTGGAATTTCCTTTGTCACATTCCTATCTTGTGTTTTATATTACATTTCTTCTCACTCTGTTCCAACATCAACCGTCTCTCAATATCACCATTTTCTATTTCTTACCTTTACTAACTTTTCTTTCTCTTTTTACAGGTCATCCAGGTCCTATGCCCCCACATGGTATGCGTGGACCTCCTCCACTGATGCCCCCTCATGGATACACTGGCCCTCCACGCCCCCCACCCTATGGCTACCAGAGGGGACCTCTCCCTCCACCCAGACCAACTCCCCGGCCTCCAGTTCCCCCTCGTGGCCCGCTCCGGGGCCCTCTCCCTCAGTAAATTTGCATTCTCCTTCCTCTTGTTATACCCTCCCAATATCTTTTCGAGTCCTTGGACCAGTCAGAGTTGCTGTACCTTCTTGGGGCTAAGGCACTAATCCCTTTCAACCCTGCCCCATTTAATGTAATTTTTTCCCACTGGAGGTATTCCCTTTTTTTGCAAATGCACAGACAAAATTAAAGTCCTTGTTTGTTCTTTGTGACATTTTCCTTTGCAAAGTAACTTTTCTCTTTTTCACTGAGATGTTAGGGCATTGTGAGAGGAATGGTAAAGTAAGAAAGAGGTTGTTTACTCCACATTTTACAGTCTTGTTTTGTAATGTGCTGGACTATGCTGTGTACTAGAGCAATTGTTTCCTTACACAGTGCTTCTGGTTTAGAAGGTGAGGACCCAGTATCTATGCCCAGGATTACTATTACTATATTTAATGAGAACAGAAGTAAATTGCTTGGAGATAGTCTGGCAAAAATTTGAAGTAACATGCACACAGCCATAGCTATTTATTGCAGTACAATTGTGGTTTTTTTTTTTTTGAGACAGTCTTACTCTGTTGCCCTTTGTAGAATGTTGTGGCATCATAGCTCACAGCATTGTCAAACGTGGGCTTAAGTGATCCTTCTGCCTCAGCCTCCCCAGTAGCTGGGACTACATGTGCCTGCCACAATGCCCAGTTAGGTTTTGTATTAGTAGAGAAAGGATCTCATTCTTGCTCAGGCTGGTGTTGAACTCTTCAAGCTCAGGTGATCCACCTGCCTTGGCCTCCCAGAGTGCTAGGATTACAGGCATGAGCCACTGTACAGGCCACAGCACAATTTTTAATAACACATTGGAAACAACTCCTGTCCAATAAGAAACTGGTTGAATAAATTGGTAAATGCACACAATGGAGTACTGTGCAGCTATCAAAAGAATTGAGAAAGTTCTCTGCATACTATTATGGAGAGATCTCCAGTTGTACTGAGTGAAGAAAATAGTATGCTACCTTACCTAAGTGTGGCACATAGATATGTATTTGTGGGTATTTAAAAAATTTAAATCGCTGGCACTCTGAGAGGCCGAGGCAGGCAGATTGCCTGAGCTCATGAGTTGGAGATCAGCTTGAGCTAGAGTGAGACCTTGTCTCCAAAAATAGCTGGGCATTGTGGTTCCTATAGTTTCAGCTACTTGGGAGGCAGAGGCAAGAGAATCACTTGAGCCCAAGAGTTCGAAGTTGCTGTGAGCTATAAATGCTCACAGCACAAAATAAGACTCAGTCTCAAAAAAATAAATAAAAAATTTAAATCAGTCAGGGGTGGCAACTCTTGCAGGTAATCCTAGCACTCTGGGAGGCCAAGGCAGGTGAACCAGCCTAAACAAGAGTAAGACCCCCCCCCCATCTCTACTAAAACTAGTCAACATTGTGGTAGGTGACTAGTCCCAGCTACCTGTTTTGTATTTGAGGTTGAGGCAAGAGGATCACTTGGGCCCAGAACTTTGAAGTTGCTGTGAACTGTGATGCCACAGCACTCCAGCCTGGGCAACAGTGAGACTGTCTCAAAAATAAATAAAAATATAAATCAAAAATTAATGGGAGTTGATAACACTTGGCAGGGGAAAGGATGTGGAGAGAAGTAAAAGTTAGCTTTCTTTTGAGTATACTGTGTCGAGAGTTTTCATTTAGAGTCATAAATGTTTAACATAGTTGCAAAACAGTTAAAATGAGTAAATTTGGGCTAGGTGCAGTGGCTTATGCCTATAATCCTGGCACTCTGGGAAGCTGAGGCGGGTGAATTGCCTGAGTTCAAGGGTTTAAGATCAGCCTGAACAAGAGTGAGATCTCGTCTCCACTACTACTATTAATAATAATTTAAAAAAAGAAAAAGCTGGGCAGCATGGCAGGTGACAATAGTCTCAGCTACTAGAAAGGCTGAGACAAGAGGACTGCTGAAGCTCAAGAGTTTGAGGTTATGAGCTGATACCATTGCACTCTACCCAGGACAACAGTGAGACTCTTGTCTCAAAAGAAGTAAATTGGGTAAATTTACTAATGTATATATTTATTTTTTTGAGACAGAGCCTCAAGCTGTCACTTTGAGTAGAGTGCTGTAGCATCACAGCTCACGGCAACCTCCAACTCCTGGGCTCAAGCGATTCTCCTGCCTCTGCCTCCCAAGTAATGGGGACTACAGGTGCTTGCCACAATGCCTGGCTATGTTTGGTTGCAGCCATCATTGTTGTTTGGTGGCTGGGGCTGGATTTGAACCTGCCAGCTCAGGTGTATGTAGCTAGTGCCTTAGCTGCTTAAGCCACAGGCTGAGGCATTTTAGGTAAATATTCATTTTTTTTCTGTTCTGTACCACCAGACATTTCAGATGAGGAGTTTATATCTTATTCCTAAAATTTCCCCTCATTCTTAGTCCTTCCAAACCTGATTTCCATCACATTTTTTTTTTTTTTTTATTGAGACAGAGTCTCACTTTGTTACCCTTGGTAGAGTGCTATGGTATCTTAGCTCACAGCAACCTCCAACTCTTGGGCTCAAGCGATTCTCTTGCCTCAACCTGTGGTAGCTGGGACTACAGGCATCCACCACAATGCCCAGCTATTTTTGGGTTATAGTTGTCACTGTTGTCTACCGAGGGTGACATGGTGAGACTCTGTTTCAAAAAAAAAAAATCTAGGGTGGCTCCTGTGGCTCAGTGGATAGGGTGCCGGCCCTATATACCCAGAGTGGTGGGTTCAAACCTGGCCCCGGCCAAACTGCAACAAAAAAATAGCTGGGCATTGTGGTGGGTGCCTGTAGTCCCAGGTACTCAGGAGGGTGAGGCAAGAGAATTGCTGAAGCCCAGGAGTTGGAGGTTGCTGTGAGCTGTGACGCCACAGCACTCTACCCAGGGCGATAAGGTGAGACTCTGTCTCTAACAACAACAAAAAAATCTGATACATAAGAGTTTTTTTTTTTTTCTCTTTTCTTTTCTTTTTTGAGATAGAGTCTCACTGTTGCCCCAGGCTAGAGCTCTCAGCAAACTCAAACTCCTGGGCTCCAGAGATCCTTTTGCCTCAGACTCCTGAGTATCGGGGACTACAGGAACATTCCACAACACCAGGCTATTTTTAGAGACAGATGGGGTTGTCTCACTTTTTTTTCTTCATACTGTATTATCTTTAATTAAGGACAAAGACCTTTTAAACATGTCACCAGGTGTAGAGACCATTCACCCATCGCTCTTTTTGGCCAAATGGAGTCTGGCTCTTGCTCAGGCTGGTCTGGGAACTCCTGAGCTCAGGTGATCCTCCTGCCTCTGTCTCCCAGAGCGTTAGGATTACAGGCCTGAGCTACTGGGAGCCTGGCCTGAGATTGTTAATGAAACATTTTGAGAACCTGAGGAAAGGTATCATATCTGGCATGAAAATCTAGGAAAACTTACTGGGAAGAAAGCAATCCCTGAATTTAATCTTAAAGGAGGGCTAGAGATATCCTAGACAATGATAAAGGAGAAGCTTCTTTTCAGCAGGATAGAATGTTTCTGAGTAGAAACATTGCTACTATGGTATATAACATACTAAAGCTGTTTGGTGTTAGAGGCAGGCTGAGGTCAGGGCCAGCTCCAATAGATCTGGTTCTCAGCCCTTTTCACATTGTGACAGGGAACCACTTGAAACATGGAGGTGAAGGGGGACAGCTGCTCCAGGCTGGAGGGTATTCACATGGGAAATCTGGTTTGATACACTTATTAGATCCCTGTGGTGACATTGAATAGACAGGTGGAGATTTTGAGTTTGGACTTTATGGAAAAGTCTGGACTGCAAATACAAATGTGGGAATCAACATATAGTTAGCATTAAAGCTGTGGGACTGCCTGGAGTGAGCAAGGGGAAAAGTAAGTGAGAGGAAAGAAGGGTCTGAGTGCTGAGCCGCCCTCTTCTCAGGACCTCCAATGTTAATGGAACCAGCAAAGGGGACTGTGAAGGAGTGGGTGGTGGGGTACATGGAGGTGTGGCACCTGGGGGAAAATTATTACGTCTCCTCTCAGAACTTACAGCGGTCTCTCAGCATCCTCAGGAGATTAGTTCTAGGACCTCTGAAGATAAAAAATTTGAGGACACTCAAATATATAAATGGTGTATTTGGTTATAACTTAAGCACATCCTCCTGTACACTTTAAATCATCTCTAGATTACTTATAATGCCTAATACAGTGTAGATGCTATGCATAATAAATTGTTGTGTTGTTTAGGGAAAAATGACAAGAAAATTAAGTCTGTAAGTTCAGCACAGGTGGAACCATCATAAACCTAACTACAGTTTCCATCCGCAGTCAGTTGGATCCACTGATGCAGAAATCAACAGTATAGAGGGCTGACTATATAAGTGCTTCCTACAAGGTTTCTTCTATTTTAGCAAGTAATGACTTGTTGGAGAGGAGGCAAAGTCACCTTAAAGAGATGAAATGGCTCCCTGCCAGCAGGATTTCACTCTAATCTATTTGAAAATAGCATATTTAAATAAAGAATGTGTCAATCTGAAGAGGGGTCAGCAATGAAAGCCCAGTAAAGGGAAGTCCCTGAGGCTGTTCCAAGTGCCATCCTGGAAAGAGTGCTTTAGCCATCAGATTTAGAGTAGTCCAGGAGAATTGGCAAGACTGCTTGCTAAGGCGTGAAGGTAGGGGAGGAGAATTGTTGCCAAAAAGAGTTTTCTGGACTCACTGGCATGACTCCTTATTTGAAATGGCTAGATGCCATTAAAGATACAAATCCTCTGGTTATGTCATTGTGCATTTATATATTGAGGTTCTGATGCTGATGTGGCTTCACAGAGAGAAGGTACTGGATATGTAGATACGAGTTTTCAGTCTGAGTGACAGTTAAATTTTTATAGTAAATTAATAATTATGTAGTAAGGCTTTATATTTCACTAAATTGTGAACTTTGTTGGCACAAATGAGTATTTCCAAGGTCCAGCTTTGGAGCCTGCAGAGCCAGGCCCACATCACTATCTTTGCTAAATTCATTTGTGAGATCGCTTGCAACATAAGCTGTCAGCCTGCTCCATGTAATGTATCCTGGCATACACATTTAGGACAGCAGAATCATACACTACTAGATCTGAAAGGAATCTGATGCAGCATTTGGTCCAAGCCTCCTTTTTCCCAAATAAGAAACCTGAGGTTTACAGAAGCAGAGAACTTGACCAAGATGTGACAGCTTGTCAGAGCCCCTTGTCAGTGCTCTGTCCAGAATATCCTAAGACCTTACCTGAAATAGACACAGCCACATACCGTCTTACCTCTGGAGTAAGCATGGTCCTCAAGTGTCACCAAGTGGTATGTCTTGGATCTCAGAGCCCAGGTTACTCTACACCGTGTAGGGGAAAAGGAAAGATAAAAGGAAAACACTGACACCAACAGACTCCTTCCCAGAAGTGTGTCTTGGGGGCAGGGGGGGATGAGACGGTCTGTGGTGGAGAAGGGTATTGAGGGGATCTCTTTCTGAGTCATTGGAGCAAATGAACGGAGGGAGAAATGTCCGGTTGGTCCGATCTTGAGAAACCCCCTCAGCTTCCCTAACCCTCAGTTCTGTTACAGAGTGGAGGAGAATGAAATCTGCACCATAAATATAAATAATCTGGGATCCAGAAGCCTCTGATTCTGGCATTTCAGGATAGAGACCACACCTTTTTATCTCAGCTTTCTCTAAAACAGCCAGGTAAACTTGGAGTGTGAACACTCGGGATTTGGGAGAGGGTTGTAGGAAAGGAGTTGGCTGCGGGAAGGGGAAAGAGGGCGTCCAGCCATACTGGGAGTGGGTGCTAAGGAAGGGGCTACCTCCTTCACCACCTTCCTTTTTGTCTTCCTAACGTCACGATTTCTGTCTTTCTTTGGTTCCTTTCATCTTTTGCTAGGAAGGGTCTGGGAAGCGCCGTGTGTCTTTCCCAGCTGTTCTCGTGACGACCCCCTGAACCCCTCCACCGATTCTCCCGCGTGCCTAGTCTCTCGCATGCTCTTTTCTTTCGCCTCTCCCCGCCCGACAATGGTCTCTCCCGGAGCTGGGTGGCGCGGGCGAGGGGGCGGGCGGAGGGGAGCGGAGGCGGGGCCGGAGTGGGGGGGCAGGTCTGCATTGCCGCTTCCCCTGGTCCCCGGAGCAGTCGCCGCTGCCGCCTCAGACCCGCGGCCGGGACCCCCGCCTTCACCCGGACTGCCTTGCCCGGGAACCAGCCCAGGTGAGACCCCGCTTCCGTCTCTCACCTCCACCCGCCCTGCAGAAGCATCTTTGCGTTGCCTCGCAGCCATTTTATCCTCCGATGCTGATGCTTTGCTTATGGGGAGGGTGACCGTCCCTGCTGGGGGTGAAGGGGATTGGTGTTGGTTTGGGGATGGATATTTATTTCAGTTGTACTCTTCAGGATATACATACACACACATATATGTTATATAAATAAAAATATATATGTATATATAATTTATTTATTTATATATTTATTTATATTGGTGAATGAGGAGGAGGGGTGTTTTCCTCTACCTCAGCCAAGTCCCCATTACCCTCTTTGGGGACGTCTGGGGTTGTTGGGTGGGATGGGGTTCCCTCAAGCTCCAATCCCCTGCCCACCTTGACGTCCCCCGCTCCCCCCCCATGAATGATAAATGACCTTGGGGCTGGGGCCAGAGAATGGATGCTACCTCAGCGTGCTGGCCTGGACTCGGGGCAGGGGGTGGGTCGTGGAGAAAGGGCAGGTGAAGGATAGAGGGAACGAAAACGAAGAATGGAAATCCTGGTAGACGGCGTGATGAACACCCCCAGGTGTTGGGGGCACGATGGCGGGGCGGGAGGCATTTGCTCCAGGGTGGGTGGGGGAAGTGTTCAGTGATGGTGGGCACTTGGTCACTTGTGTAGCGGCAGGACCAAGGGTGGGGAGAGGTGCCAGGAGAAGAGATTTAGGCAATTCTAGGGGTTATTCCCAGATACTAGAGCTGAGATGGGGGGAGGGTCGTCGCAAATGCTGGTAGGGATGGACAGTCTGTGTATGTGGAGGTCTCTCCCAGCACCCCCCTCTCTGCCTCGCCATATTCCACCGTGTACATTCTCAGCTAACACCTTCATTTTTTTACTCTTCTGAATTGTGAATGCTTTCATCTTCCTAACCCTGGGGGAGAATGTGGGGAAGGGCACAGCCTTGGGGTCCTGGGATAGGAGTTGAGGTTCAGTCATCCAGTTGAATGGGGAAGGGTGCCCTGACACCTCCCATATTCTGTCTCCAGCCCTCCTCCCAATGTTTTGATGAGTAATTGCTTCTTAATGACCTTGTCTCCTGGGCTAGGTGGGCTGGGGATCTGGGTTACCTACAATGTCAGGGGTTTTGATAGTGGGGGTTTCTGTACCCTCCTCTTATCCATGTTCTGAAAGGAAGCATCTGCTCAGGAGTACCCCCACCCTGTCTCCACCCTCTGCAGAAAATCTCCTGGGCACCTTTTTCTGGTCAGGTGAAGCCAGCCAGCCTTAAAGGGCCACATAACCCTGAATTTTGTCTCCTTTAACCTCCATCTCTCCAAGTCTTGTCTCTTTTATACAGGCTTAGCTACCCTGTGCTGCTTGTTGGGGCTAAAAATAGCACTACTTCCTCACCAGCTCAAAGAATTTGTCTTCTTTCTCTCCCTGCTGACCTCCTGGGCGGGTTGGCCCTGGGGAAGCTGGGTGTTGAGCCCTGATGTACTGCTGGTGGTGGTGGGAGCCTTCTCTACCTTACCTGAGCCTCTCAGGGCTGAACAGTGTCAACAAACCTAGGGGATGGCTCCTGGTGGATCCATCTGTCTCCTTCAGGGTTTAGGGGCAATCCTACTTAGGAAAGAAAGGAAATCAAACAAATTGCCACATACTAAGGCATCCTCTTTAATGAGAATGGTTGGGACCCGAACCATGAAGAAAAGGTGACATAGGGGTCACTGCTTCTGGTCACCATGGGCCACTGCTTACATCTGTCCTGAGGGGTAAGGCTCTGCTTGCCAGTGCTTCTCTCTGAATCAGATAGCATTACTTCCCTGCTTCTACCAGAGTGTTTGTGTGCGTGTATGTTTGTGTGTGTATGTGTGTGTGTATGACATTTAATGAAGGCCCTGGTTGGGTGGGAGCAGAGGATATTTTTAGGGGGACGATTGCTGATCAGAATCGAGGCCTACTTCCTCTGCTTCTATGAAGAAAGGGGAGGTTGTCCTATGCCTCCTTCTGAAAGATGTCTATTTTGGGGGGAGGCCCCCAGGCCCCCTTTATTCTATACCAGCCTGCTACGCACTGTGGTATTTGTGGACTCCCTTTTTCTTGCCTCTTGGAGGAGAAGCAGAAGGGATTAAGGGGAATTAGGAAGAGAAGCCCCGGAAGAATGAGATACAACCACATAGACCTTAGACCTTCATGTTGGAAAGTGTGAGTTTGATCAGTCATTTCTATTCCCACCCCCATCATTGAAGGGGGCCCATGTATGACATTCTGAAGGAAGGTGCCAGGGCCAGTCATCACCCTTTGTCTGCTCTCAATCTGCCCTCTTCTCCATTCTACTCTAGTTCTAGATCTCCCTTTTCTGGGTCTTCTCTTGTTTTTCTAGAGGGAGATAATGCAGGCCTAGCTGTTGGAATTCATTTAAACACAAACAGAGAGGTCTTGGAATTCTTTGATTTAGGTTGATGCTGGGCAACAGCCTCTAACTGTACCCCATCTGTCCACTTGTCCCTTGCCATTTCTTGCCTCTTTCATATTTCAATATAATAGGAAGGAAACCAATATTTATAGACCACTGTGAAATGAAATTCTCACATGGACTCTGAGAAATTGAAGAGTTGCCCAATTCATTATTTTTTTGAGATAGTCTTACTTGTCATCCTTGGTAGACGTAGTTCACAGTAATCTCAAACCCTTGGGCTTAAGCGATTCTCTTGCCTCAGCCTCCCGAGTAGCTGGGACTACAGGTGCCTGCCACAAAGCCCAACTATTTTTTTAGAGCCAGGGTCTCCATCTTGCTCAAGCTGGTCTCAAACAATCCACCTGCTTCGGCCTCCCAGAGTGTTAGGATTATAGGCATGAGCCACCACACCCGACCCGTGATTCTCCCAATTTAATTATTCTCAGTTTTAAATACAAGAACACTGAGGCTTACAAGACCAGTTAGGAAGTAAGTGGTGGAGTTGGGATTTCAGCTTAGGTCATCTTACTACTATGTGCTTTGCACTGAACTTTGCATCTTCTTGCTGGTATCCCTTTTCTGTGGCTCATCCTAAAGAGCATCCAGAGATGGCTTTTGTTTTGGAACTTTGTGATGGAGTATAGGGGATTTTACCGTATTACTATCACCACAATATTAATAACTAATATTTATTTATCACTTTTTATGTATCAGGTAAGGAACATAGATGCATTGTGTGCCATTTGACCCTTACTATCCCCCTTTTATTTATTTTTATTTATTTATTTATTTATTTTTGAGATAGAGTCTCTAGCTGTCACCCTGGATAGAGTGCTATGGCATCATAGCTCACAACAACCTCTAACTCTTTGTCTCAAGTGATCCTCTTGCCTCAGTTTTTCTATTTTTAGTAGAGACAGGGTCTTGCTTTTGCCCAGGCTGGTTTCAAACTCCTGAGCTCAAGCCATCCACCCACCTCGGCCTCCCAGAGTGCTAGGATTACAGGCATGAGCCACTGTGCCCAGCTACTTTCCCCCTTTTATTATTCTATTTTATTTTATTTTTTGCAATTTTTGGCTGGGGCTGGGTTTGAACCTGCAACCTCAGGTATATAGGGCCAGTGCCCTACTCCTTGGAGCCTCAGGTGCTGACCCCACTTTCCCACTTTTAAATAAGAAGAAACTGAGGCCTGGATGTTCAGAAACCTACCTGCAGTCACCCTCTGTAGAGTGCTATGGCTTCACAGCTCACAGCAACCTAAAACTCTTGAGCTCAAGCAAGTCTCTTCCCTCAGCCTCCCAAGTAGCTGGGATTACCAGTGCCTGCCACAATACCCGGCTATTTTTTTGTTGTAGTTGTCATTGTTACTCAGCTTGCCCAGGCTGGGTTCGAACCCACCGGCCTCGGTGCATGTGGCTGGCACTGTAACCACTGTGCTATGGGCACTGAGCCGAAACCCCACCTTTAGATGCCATCAGTGGACTAAAAGCACCAGGCTGTGGAGGCTTGTCCTACAAATCCTCCTCAAGTTGCCTAATAAGAAACCTAGCCCAGACTAAGGAAGGGAGTTCTGGTTTCTCATATTTCCTGTTTTGTTCTTTGCAGGTTGGTGGTAAAGGAAGGGGTCTGGATTTGATGGGGGACCGGGGATTAGGAGAGGGGCTTGGGTAGGTAGGTGGCTGTGACTGTGGAGCAAATCCCATGGGCTAAGTCTCCAAGGTCAAAGTAAGGAGACTTCTATGAGAATGACCCACGGTTGGTCATGATGACATAGTCATCCCTTTTTACTGCAGAGAGGCCTGAAGCAAAGAGACCATTTCTGCGCCTCATGGTCCAGTCAGGGCTCTGGGTTGAGAGGAACTTTATACTGACTTTTTTCACCCTTGGAATTTACGGCCTCCTTTTTCTCCCTCTTGGTTTTTTCTAGGCTTCCAGAGGCTTCCAGAAGAGAAGTAGGCAGTCCTTCCTGGATTACCCTGGCCTAGCCCTACCAACCTGGCTCCCCTACCCCTTCCCATCCCTCCCGGCCCCCTCTCCCTTCCCCACCCACTCAACTGAAGTGGGTATAGGCCAAAGCTCCTCTCCCTCCCTTCCCTTCTGGACACTAGCCAGGATCCATTCCTCTTATTCTGTGACCAAAGATACTGGAACACACTTCTAAGTAACTGCAGAGAGGGGTCTTCTTTACTTGATGAGTCCTTGAGCAAAAAGTTGAAAAAGAAGCAGAGACTAGGGAGATCTGTTGAAGTGCCCTAAAGCTGCATCATGGAAGAGAGCTTCCGAGACCGGGCAGCTTTCATCCGTGGGGCCAAAGACATTGCCAAGGAAGTCAAGAAGCATGCGGCCAAGAAGGTGGTGAAGGGCCTGGACAGAGTCCAGGATGAATATTCCCGAAGGTCCTACTCCCGCTTTGAGGAGGAGGATGATGATGATGACTTCCCTGCCCCCACTGATGGCTATTACCGTGGTGAAGGGGCTCAGGACGAGGAGGAAGGTGGCGCCTCTAGTGATGCCACTGAAGGTCATGATGAGGATGATGAGATCTACGAGGGGGAATATCAGGGTATCCCTCGGGCAGAGTCAGGGGGCAAAGGTGAACGGATGGCAGATGGGGCACCCCTGGCTGGAGTGAGAGGGGGCTTGAGTGATGGGGAGGGCCCCCCTGCAGGCCGAGGAGAGGCACAGCGGCAGAAAGAACGAGAAGAACTGGCCCAGCAGTATGAAGCCATCCTACGGGAGTGTGGACATGGCCGTTTCCAGTGGACACTCTATTTCGTGCTGGGTTTGGCACTGATGGCTGATGGTGTTGAAGTCTTTGTGGTGGGCTTCGTGCTGCCCAGTGCTGAGAAAGACATGTGCCTGTCTGACTCCAACAAAGGCATGCTGGGTAAGACACAGCTGGAGGCACTCCAGCCCAATCCTGCCTCCAACTCTGGAAACACCTTTGCTCCTGTCCTTACTCCTGGGCTCCTTAGGACTCTGCTCCCGTAATTTTCCAGAGGGCTCAGGGTTCCTCTGCACACTGTCCATAAAAATGAGGGAGCTCTGAAGCTGGAGCAGAATGGAGAAGTTGCATGTGAAAGATGAACTTGGGAAAGGGCATCTGGTGAGGGGGTTGGGACAGTGTTTGGGGGGTGGTCTGCTTAGTTGATTCTGCAGCAGGTAACCATGGTGAGATGGGTCACCATTTAATGTTTCTTCATAGTCTTCCCTCTTGTTATCTTGTTCCCTTTCCCTGGTTAGAGAACAGGAAGCCAGTATGCAAACTCCATAGTGTAAATGGAGAGGGTCAGTCTGGGGTGAAGGAGGAGGTGCCAGACAAGCTGGTTACACTTGTTCCCGCTTAGATTTAGGAGTTTCCAGGGATCAGTGAGTGGTCTCTGATGGCCCTTTCTGATAGGAACCCTGGGAAAGCCCTAGATTCACTGAGAAAGAATCCAGGCCTTTCTCTGCCACTAAATTGCCCTAGGATCTTGGACAAGTCTCCACTCCTTGGAGTTTGATTTGGGCTTGGGTAAAAAGCAGTTGGGAGTAGATGATTTTTAAAATTCCAGTTCTGATTTTATAAAAGAAGTAAGAAATGGGAGTTGTAGGATCAGAAGTATTGGAAGTAGAAGGAATAAAGGATAGATTTTGTGTGTGTGTGGGGGGGGATTTCCTGGGAAGATTGAAGCAATTGAAGCTCCTTTCCCAAGAAACTAAAGAGGACATCAAAGCAGGGAGAATAGATAAGATAGAGAGGACCCTGGGACAGTTTGGGAATCCAGGCAGATCCCAGGTAAGCCGGGGATGGGTGTGTATGTGAGTGTGTGTGTGTGAGTGAGAGAGAGAGGAGAGTGGACAGTACTGGGGTTCTCCTGTATCTGCATTTCTGCCTTTAAACCGCTGGCCTGTAGAGATGACCTTCCATCTTTGCTTGCACACAATGCATGTTCTCTCACTAACTCTTATCTCTGGGTAGATTTAACTTTTAGAAGTTCTTCAGATCCTTGATCATTCTGCTGCAGTTTCAGCTTCTTTAACACTCAACTAATGGGAGAACTGAGGTATGTCCGCTCATTCCTCTTCTGCCTCTGTTTTCCTCCTCCTTCCAGGCCTCATCGTCTACCTGGGCATGATGGTGGGAGCCTTCCTCTGGGGAGGTCTGGCTGATCGGCTAGGTCGGAGACAGTGTCTGCTCATCTCACTCTCAGTCAACAGCGTCTTTGCCTTCTTCTCATCTTTCGTCCAGGGTTATGGCACTTTTCTCTTCTGTCGTCTCCTTTCTGGGGTTGGGTGAGTGTCCACTTCCTAAGTTCCTTGAGGGAAGGACTATGCCTTTGGTCTCTGTTATACCTTTAGAACTCTGCAAAGTGCTGGGCACTTTAAAATACCAGATGTATTTTAAATGGGTATGAGGTGAACAAATGAATGAATTTCTTTCTCTCCCTCACCATCTTTATGCCAGCTCCTCCCCATCCTGGATCTGTCTGCTGCTGTCCACAATGCCATTCCATGCCTGATCCACTCCTGAGCCCTCCACCCCACCTCTAGTTCCATTTCTGAGCCTTACCTCTACAAAGAGGGAGTGGGACTCCCTTTTAGTGGGACTAAGCTACACCCATGGGCTCCTGTGAACTCTGGAGTTATTCCCTTCCAGAGTCTACACACCTCCTTTGCTCAACAACAAACCTTGCTAACACTCACACCTGCCAGAATGGTGAAGCCTTGCCCACACCACCCTCTACTTCCTCAGCATGGCAGGCACTCTTACTCTGCCTGACTCCAAGCTTTTCTTTATTACTACTACTACGATTATTATTATTATTATTATATATTTTTGAGACAGAGTCTTGCTCTGTTGCCCAGGCTAGAGTGCCATGGCTTCAGCCTATCTCACAGTAACCTCAAATTCCTAGGCTCAAGTGATCCTCCTACCTCAGCTTCCTGAGTAGATGGGACTACAGGTGCCCAGCACAATACCTGGCTGATTTTCCTATTTTTAGCAGAGAGATGAGGTCTTGCTCTTGCTCAGGCTGGTCTTGAACTTCTGAGCTCAAGGGATCCTCCTGGCTTGGCCCCCCAGAGTGCTAGGATTACAGGTGTGAGCCACTGCGCCCAGCCTCCAGGGTCTTTTCTGGCCTACTTCCATAGCACCTGCCCTAGGACTCCTACCCTTTTTTCCTCTCTGGAGATTTTCCCTCTATTCTGCAATTATCTTCCTCTCCTTCCAGTCTGTAGTCATCTTCAGATTAATGTTTGCTTCTAAACATTTAACATCTAAAGATTAAATGTTTGCTCCTTTTCTTTTCCTAAGACCTGTTTGCCTGTTTCCCATAGTGCCAAGGATGGGTGCTTGACATTTGGCTGTGAGGGGAGCTTGTGGGTCATTGTGTGTGAGATGGCATCTCTCAAAGAGTCTGGAAGATGAAAGAGACTTGGGAATCCAATGCACTGGGATAGGGGATCAGGAAGATGGCCATTTTCTAATGCTGAATTCTTGAAATGCCCTCTAGGATTGGAGGGTCCATTCCCATCGTCTTCTCCTATTTCTCGGAGTTTCTGGCCCAGGAGAAACGTGGGGAGCATTTGAGCTGGCTCTGCATGTTTTGGATGATTGGTGGAGTGTATGCAGCTGCCATGGCCTGGGCCATCATCCCCCATTATGGTGAGAAGCCCCCAGTGATCCACCCTAGGTTCTCTCCCTCCTCCCTCTTCTGTGGCCCTGTGGTAGGAGCCCCCAGCCTCTGGTCTGTCTACCGACACTGTGACTCTGTCTCTGCCAGGGTGGAGTTTTCAGATGGGTTCTGCTTACCAGTTCCACAGCTGGAGGGTCTTCGTCCTCGTCTGCGCCTTTCCTTCTGTGTTTGCCATTGGGGCTCTTACCACGCAGCCTGAGAGCCCCCGTTTCTTCCTGGAGGTGATGGGGCTGAGACTTGGTGGGAGGGTGGGGAGAAAGCACTGTGGAGCATGAAGGGCAGCGGGGGCTTCTGTGTCCCGCACACTGTTAGTTTCATTTGGTCCTGGGTGGCTGCCTTCCTTCCTCACAGGGTCCATAGTCTGGGAGACTTTGCCTTGCTTCCTTTGCCTTAGAATATATCCCCAGAGGGGTTCTGTAGGTGAAGAATCCAGGGGCCCTGTTCAACCAGGGGTAGCTAAAGGTTTTGCAAGAAGGGGCCGTGGCCCTGGCCCTGAATTTATAGCTTAAGAGAAGCTCCCACCCTTTCCTCCTTTCCCCTCCAACTCAATCTTGGCCCAGCAGGGTTAGGATGCGGCCTCTTCCCAGACTACATCCTTGCCCATCATTCGTCTTCTTTTCATTTTTCACTTTCAATTTACCAGGGAATTGCTAGGACCTTTGCTTGCCCTTGTTCCCAAGGTGACCCCCCCACTCCTGTCATAGTCTGATCATGTCTGCTGTACTTCACCTTGGGGCTCTTTCAGAGTGGGTAATGCCTGTCCATAGGTCAGGGGTTGGTGGTGTTGGGGGTGGGATTTGTTTCATGTCCCATGACTCCAGAAGCCAGGAGGGTCTGTAACACTGGGCCAGGGAGGGGATGACTTGGATGTGGGGATTATGTCTGTGGCTCTAGAATGGGAAGCATGATGAAGCCTGGATGGTGCTGAAGCAGGTCCATGACACCAATATGAGAGCCAAGGGACATCCTGAGCGAGTATTCTCCGTAAGTCACAGTGCCCTCCCAATACCACCAAGCCCCTGCAGCCTCAGCCCCCACCCAGCCCCTGTGTGGATACCCCCTACCTACCTTCTCAGACATCTCAGACTATACTCTACCACAAGATTTTTAGGGTATCATATCATATCCCCTGCCTCCCATTTTGCTAATGCAGGGAAAACTGAGGTATCTCGAAGAAGTTGGGAAATTCAGAGTATGTGACTGCTCACCTCTTTCCTACCCTAGGTAACTCACATTAAGACAATTCATCAGGAGGATGAATTGATTGAGATCCAGTCAGACACAGGGACCTGGTACCAGCGCTGGGGCGTCCGGGCCTTGAGCCTGGGGGGGCAGGTAATGGAGGATAGGACGGTGGAGGGAGAAGGGGTGGAGAGAGAAGGGAGTAGAAGACGTGAAGAGGAAGGCAGGACTTAAGTCAGGGTGGGGAGAAGATGAACTGAAGGGAGTTTGTAGGGCAGAAACATGGGCATCTATGGGTGCTAGGAGTTAGTAAAGCCAAGCTCTGACTTTGTTCTGACCCTTGCAGGTTTGGGGGAATTTTCTCTCCTGCTTTGGTCCAGAATATCGGCGTATCACTCTGATGATGATGGGTGTGTGGTTCACCATGTCATTCAGGTGAGGAGAGGGGGCTGGGGGCCATATGTTGGTTGTGGTGGTACGTAGGTAAAAGGTGATGGGGGAAATGGAAATGCAGGGGTCAAACAACAAGGAGAGGTGCTGTTTGGATCCCCTCTGATCCTCCACCAAGCTCCTCCACTTCATTTGTTCACTCAGCAGACCCATATTGCAGTATGACTGGCATTAAGCTTCTACTCTGCTGGGATGACGTAGAAATGTGGTCCCAGTCTTCCTGGAGCTGATGTTTTGGTTAGGGAGCTAAGGGAACTTTCTATGAGCACTTGATGAAAGCCATGGTGGGTGAAGGGCAAAGAGCTAATGGAGCACACTTGGGACTCTTGGGGGGATCTGAGTCCTGAAGAATGAATGCAGGTCATACAGGCTGTAGGGGGCAGTGGGGAGAGGCCAGGAGTGGGGAAGTGGGTTTTAGGCAGAGAGAAGAGCAAATAAATGCCTGGAAGGTAAGAAGGAATATGGAGGCTGGTGTGGAATAATCGATGGTCCCCAGAACCACAGCATTTGGTGAGGGAAGAACAGAGGAAGATGAGCCTGGAGGGCAGCCAGGCCCCAGTCGGGGCTGATACTGCTTCTCCCTCATTCTGGACTGCCTGGTTCTAATCTCTGAGCCTCCTGTCTGTTTCCCTCACCCTTGACTCTTTAGCTACTATGGCCTAACAGTCTGGTTCCCTGACATGATCCGCCATCTCCAGGCAGTGGACTATGCAGCCCGCACCAAAGTGTTCCCTGGAGAGCGTGTGGAGCATGTGACTTTTAACTTCACACTGGAGAATCAGATCCACCGTGGGGGGCAGTACTTCAATGACAAGTATGTCTGGACCTTTGAACTTCACTCTTTCTCTGTCTCTTCTGCTCCTTGTATCTTTTATGAGTCTGGGAATTCCAGAGAAGGCATTTTGGGGAAAATTCCTGTGGTTTCTTCTCAATGCCAAGCTTCCCATTACTTCGCTAAAGGAGTGAGTCTCTGAGGAGGGTAGGAGGATGAGGGGAGGTGTCTCATCATCCTGGCTTTACAGGTTCATTGGGCTGCGTCTGAAGTCAGTGTCCTTTGAAGATTCCCTGTTTGAGGAGTGTTATTTTGAGGATGTCACATCTAGCAACACATTTTTCCGCAACTGCACATTCATCAACACCGTGTTTTATAACACTGGTAAGGTGGTGTGGCCGGAAATGTCAAAGGGTTGGGTAGACCTTGATGAGGGGAGAAGGAATCTTCTTTATTCACTGGCTTAGAGTTCTCAGACTGAGATCTCTGGAGCCCTGTGGGAAAGTGGTACAGGAACTTAATAGCTATCACCAATAATTCTGAAAATCTAAGGGAAATTGCACATTTTCCTGATAAAATAATCTAATAAAAACATCAAGTTTCTTTGCCTTTGGGTACAATTGTAATAATTCAGTGAGGGAATATTAATATGCTTTTGAAAAGGACAAAAATCATCTAAAACAGTGTCCTTGGGGGAAAAAAACAATAAAGGGATATGTGGTGGGGAAAAGATTGGGAATCACTGCATTAATCTACTCTTTTAATGGTGACTCTCATATGTGACATGCTTGTTTTGTGAGCTAGACAGACAGAGGTTTCCCACCTCGACAGAGTACTGAGGAACTCTTCCCAGCTTGCCAGAGAAAAGAAAAAGCACAACAAAACAGTGGATAGGACTTTATATTACTTTAAATATTTTTCTCAGAAAAATTTCTTGAACTCATGGTACTGCTACTCCTTATAATCAGCTAACATGTACACAAAGATTGAAAAAGAAATAAAGACCATTGGGTGGCGCCTGTGGCTCAGTGAGTAGGGCGCCCACCCCATATACTGAGGGTGGTGGGTTTGAACCCTGCCCTGGTCAAACTGCAACAAAAAAATACCCGGCGTTGTGGCGGGCGCCTGTAGTCCCAGCTACTCGGGAGGCTAAGGCAAGAGAATCACATAAGCCCAAGAGCTGGAGTTTGCTGTGAGCTGTGATGCTACAGCACTCTACCGAGGGCGACAAAGTGAAACTCTGTCTCTAAAACAAACAAACAAATAAATAAATAAAGACTGTTAATGGAAAAACTTGGAAAAAGCCACATAGTATTTGACAGATGAGGGTCATTTTCTACTGTAAAGATCCCTACTTCCCATGGTAATATTATTGATTCTTTGCAGTTAGTCCCCAAAGTCATTTTGAGACCCCCACACCCCCTGCTCTATTTCCCCCTACACAGTGTAGAGCCCTGGGTCGTAAGCAGTGGCAGCCTCCTCTCACATTCTCTGTGACTGCTTGCCTGTCTTGACCTTCACTCGCAGACCTGTTTGAGTACAAGTTTGTGAACAGCCGGCTGGTAAACAGCACATTCCTGCACAATAAGGAGGGCTGCCCACTAGATGTGACAGGAACAGGAGAAGGTGCCTACATGGTGTACTTTGTCAGCTTCTTGGGGACATTGGCTGTGCTTCCTGGGAACATCGTGTCTGCCCTGCTCATGGACAAGATTGGCAGGCTTAGGATGCTTGGTAAGGGGAGAGATTGTGTGGTGTGTGCTGGATCTCCTGGGGGCCAGTAACTGGGGAGGCTGTCAACAGTCTCCTCACCATGGGCTGTGAAAAGATTGGCCAGGGAGCTCCTCTCATGTTTTCTGTTTAGGGGGTGCTACAGGGTGGGTGGGGCCTGGCACAGAAGCTTCCCTAGGGGTAAAGGAGATAGGCAGACTAGCAAATGGTCTGGGCACAGGCTCTGAAGTTATGGGATTTGCACCTTATGTTCACCACCCACCTGGGGCAAGTTACTTAACCTTTATGAGCCTGTTGTCTTTTCTGCAAAATGGGAGTGACAATAGCACATGTCTCACAGGGTTGATGTACTAAATCAGCACATGTAAAGCATCAAGTTGCTTAGCCTGTGGCTGGCATTGAATAAATGGTTGTTACTTTTTTTTTTTCTTTGAGACAAAGTCTCACTCTGTCACCCTGGGTGTGTGCTGTGCAATCATAGCTCACAGCAACTCAAAACTCTTGGGCTCAAGCGATCCTCCTGCCTCAGCCTCCCCAGCAGCTGGGAGTATACATGCTTGCCATGACACCTTACTAGTTTTTCTACCTTTATTAGAGACAGGGTCTCACTTTGCTCAAGCTGGTCTTGAACTCTTTTTTTTTTTTATTATTGAATGGTAACTATGTACATTAATGCACTTCTGGGGTACAGTGTGGGGCTTTCACACACAATCCGAAACACTTCCATCAAACTGGTTAACATAGCCCTCATGTCATTTGTCTTGAACGCTTGAGTTCAAGCAGTCCACCCACCTCAACCTCCCAGAGTGTTAGTATTACAGGTATAAGCCACTGTGCCCACTGGTGGGTATCTTTTGGGTATCTTGTAGAAAAGGGAGTCTCATCCTGGCCTGTCTTAAAGCTAGCTGATGGAACAAGATGGGTTACAGATGGATTTTGTGTGGTTGGGCTCATGATGCTCTCTCCTTTCCTGGCTCCAGCTGGCTCCAGCGTGATGTCCTGTGTTTCCTGCTTTTTCCTGTCTTTTGGGAACAGCGAGTCAGCCATGATTGCTCTCCTCTGCCTTTTTGGGGGGGTCAGCATTGCATCCTGGAACGCATTGGATGTGTTGACTGTGGAACTCTACCCCTCAGACAAGAGGTACTTGGAGTGTGGTGGGGATGGGGCAGCAGGTTCAGGGTCTAGAAGGCAGGGGAGATGTGGGGCAAAGAAGGGAGTCTGAATGGGATAATCATCCTTGAGGGTAAGAGGATACATGTTCCCATGGAGTCTCCCTTACCCTCGCTTTTTTTTTTTTTTTGAGACAGAGTCTCATTTTGCCACCCTTTGTAGAATGCTGTGGTATCATAGCTCATAGCAATCTCAAACTCTTGGGCTCAAGTGATTTCCTTGCTTCAGGCTCCCAAGTAGTTGGGACTAAAAAACAACACCTGGTTATTTTTAGAGACAGGTTCTCAGTTTGCTCAGGCTGGTCTCAAACTCCTGAGCTCACACAATCCACCCCCCTCGTGTCCCAGAGTGCTAGGATTACAAGTGTGAGCCACTGCACCTGGCTTGGAGTTTCTCCCCTTAAATCTGGTAGCTTTTGTACTTACTCTCTGAAATCTTCACTTTTTTTTTTTGAGGCAGAGTCTCACTCTATCACCCGGGGGGGGGTGCTATAGTGTTATAGCTCATAGCAACTGCAAACTTTTGGGCTTGAGCAATCCTTCTGAGTAGCTGGGACACAGATGCCTGCCACAATGCCTGGCTTTTTTTTTTTTTTTTTTTTTTTAGTAGAGATGGAGTCTTACTCTTGCTCAAGCTGGTCTTGAACTCCTGAGCTCAGGCAATTCTCCCATCTTGGCCTCCCAAAGTGCTAGGACTACAAGTGTGATGAAGTCTTAACTATTAACCTAATTTTTTGGTCTTTTTCTTCATCATCTTCCAATTTATTTATATTCTCTGACATACATCCCTCATCCCTCTGCCTCTCCATCCTTCCCTCTCTCTCTCTTGGATACTACATTCATTGTCTTCCTTGCCTTCACTTCTGCACCCTCCCACTCTTCCCTTGACTCCCTCCTGGGCCGGCCCTCTGTGCTGTACGTCGCGATGCCTGAGCAGGACCACAGCCTTCGGCTTCCTGAATGCCCTGTGTAAGCTGGCAGCCGTGCTTGGGATCAGCATCTTCACATCCTTTGTGGGAATCACCAAGGCTGCCCCCATCCTCTTTGCCTCAGCTGCCCTTGCCCTCGGCAGCTCTCTGGCCCTGAAGCTGCCTGAGACCCGGGGGCAGGTGCTGCAGTGAGGGGTCTTTGGGGCTTTGGGAGTGGCAGGCACACTGTGAGACCAGGTCCTTTCTTCCCTTCCCTGCCCTGCCATCCTGGCTCCAGAGCCCTCACTCTCCACTCCCCTGTTTAGTGTCTCAGCTCTGTATGTATGTGGGTGTGCATGTGTGTGATCCCCGTGGGCAGGGACTAAAGGGAAGTCTCCTTCATCTCAGTTTGGGATGAAGTCTGCTCCCTATTTCCTACTACCCTCAACTTTGCACAAGAGAAGGCTGAGCCTAACCCTTCTCTGCTCCAGGAGTTCCAGAACTGGCTTCCTGCCTTTCCCCTCATTCTCTCTGCCTAGGCCCTGGTGAAACCATGGGTATGCAGTTATGCTGGGGGCTGGGGCTTGGGTGTAGACCACGGACCAAAAGAACTTCTTAGAGTTGGCAGGGCCTCAGTACCCTCTCTCACGTCCTGATGGATGCTGGGGGAGTAGCAATAAACCTCAGGCCCCTGGCCTCCCCTTAACCCCTCAATTTGGGCTGTAAATACAAAGCCTAAATTGTATGAAATTAGCTTTCTGATTCTTATTTATTTATATATTAAGTTCTGAGGCAGCTCAGCAGGACTGTGTGTGTGAATGTGTGTGTACACTTATGTATGTGTGTGCATGTGCCATAGAGTGGGGGTGTCACTATATTGTCCTAAAATATAAGCCAAGGGTTATTTTAATGGACACACACAACCCTGCCTCCCATAGTACTTCCCTAATCTTGTTTCTGTGTTGAGCCTGGGAAGGAGGAGGCCTAGGCCAGTCTGGAATAAGAGCTCCACAGTCTAGGGGAATCTGAGGGCACTTGGCAAGGCCCATCTCTTTCCCTCCTTCAAGAAGCACAGTCCTTCTCTGGAGTGAGAGGCTTCACCACTATAGCACAGACAGGAACAGCATAGCTGTCCTCACCTGTCCCCCATAGGCAGGGGAGGGGGAGGAAAGAAACCAGGCATATGGTCAAACCAGCAGATCAAAAAGCACAAGGCTGAGGTCATCCTGGAAATTTCCCTAAAGTGGGGAGAGGTTGGGCAGTAAGTGAGTAACTCCTAATGCAGGGACCAGAAGCTTGGGTTTCCCCATCTCATCCTTCTACACTGTAGCCTTTGTAGGTTAAGCTGCCCCATCCCGCTGTACCCCGTGTGACTGCTTTCTTTGGTGCCCTCTCCTCACCCTACTGTAGTTGTGATGTGTTGTAGTTTTTAGCTGTTTGTAAAATGTTTTAAAAAAAGTTAAAAGTTAAAAAGAAAAAATAATAAAAAGAAAATCTAAATTTACCCTCCTCATGCTGTGTCTGGTGCCCCCACCTTGTGGTCACTGTCCCCATTTTGTAACACTGAACCAGGTGGTGACTGTTTTAACTCTTTGGTGTCTGTGCTCAAAAGACCGACTGCCTTCTCCTCCAGTGCCCAGTGTGTGTGCGTGTCTTCCTTTACCCTTCACTTGCTGGATGTAGCCCTCTTCCCTGCGCTCCTGGAGGAATCCATCCATCTCTCTTGCTCTCCTGGGGAACCCTAAACCCAACTCCCTTGATGTGAAAAATGCAATGAAAAATATTGGTGAAAAATAAAAAGGAAATTAATCCTTAAAATACAAAATGGCTATGTCTGTTTCTATGCCTTCTCCACCCATATCCAATTCTTGTAAGTTTTGGGACAGCAAAACGGTGAGAAAACTTTCCAAATTGGAAGCCAGAATAACATGATGTATCATATTTACTTCCTAAATTGCTCTCTCTACCCTGACCTTTCCACTTCTGTTGATGGATGGTCCTCAGAAGTCTCCCAGATTTGAAAATGTGCAATCATTTCTGAAGAATAGGACTAACTTTGCGCCACATCTTCTGGTTTGCCTTTTTTTTT